GTCATCCACAACTTTATTTGCAAAATTCAGCCTTATTTAGTTCAACACCACAACCAATTTTGTACCCTTTCTTATGTGGTAAAATCTGAAATGATGCCTACCGAATCTGCTGTTTGCCCCATTGTTCCAGCCAGGACTCTTGGATTTCGAAATAGATTTTTTCAACACGCTTGCTCGAACCCATGATTTCGATTCTTCCAAGGAATGGATCGAAGTATTCCAGTAATGTTTGAGCCTAAAAAGCAAGTTTATTTGGCTGAGAATCCAAAGAATTTCTGTGAAGACATGACCAAGCATGCACACCTTTTCAATGATCTTTTCCAATCTAGGATCGTTGGTAATGTGTTCTTTGAGGTTCGTCAACAGCACAGCCAAGTTGAAACCGATTTCTCGAGCAGGGTTATGGAATCTTTCGGTAAATTCCATGTAATCCACTTTTCCATCATTGTTCACATCGGTACACATCATCAGATAAGTGATGTCTTCGCTGTATAAAGCGGTCATCAGTTAGGTAGTTAAATGGCCATGCAAATTTTTAGGGTAAACTGAAAACTTACACAGTGTACATCTTCTGACTCTCCATGGCTCTTTGGAACTCTTTCGGACTGATCCAGCCATCGCGATTTGTATCGAAGTCCTACAATAAATCCAGTAGTTATTATAATTTTTCGTCATTAGTGAAGACAAACCTGGAACGCCTGAGATGTTGTCAGGTCCTTCAGTTTCAAGAACATATCCGAAAACTTCAGGATTTTCTCCACGGACGGTTGTGATTCGACTAATGCGTCCACCATTTGTTTACCAATCGGTCCATTAAGGACATTTCCTTCAAAGATGGGATTTTACCTCATTAGTCAAAATCGAAAAGAAGCTGACCTTCCAGCATGGACAGCATCAGCACGATCATATCCTTTTGCAAGTTGAGGAACTCTCGCAAAAGTTCCAGTTGGGTAGAGTTTCGGTAAAGTTTCTCCATCATATGAGCGAACAGGAAGAAGAAACCATTGATGGCATCCCATAGACGTGAATTTGCCAACGTCATTTGATTGCCAACACATGGTCCCTACAAAGGGTAGCAGAATTAGTAAATTCAAATCAGTGGCTAGCTCCGCCCACTTCAGTTGTAGATGGGCGGAGTCAGTCCAAAATCTTCTATTTTTCGGCTGTCAAAGTCCGATAATTTTATCGTTATATATCTGCTTGAGAAACTATCGTGACCAACCTGAATGCTTTCGGTAAGTGTGTTGAACAC